TATATATTTTTTTAAAAGAAATGTTTTAAGCAACAGAAAGTGATAAAATACAAATGAAAGCTTTGTCATTAGGACTTGGGCACAAGAGGAAAAGGTGTGAGGGCCCCTCTGTCCACTAAGGACCCTCTTGTCGGTGAAGCTCTTGCTGTGGTAGGCGGGCCCTCGCCTCACTGTGAGCCTGATTACATCTTCACAGCCACCTTGGGTGGGAGGTGCTCTTAGTCCCACGTCAGATGAGCAGACGTGGGTTCCCAGATGGCGCTTGCCCAGGACCGGGTCGGACAGGTCACCGCAGGCAGGATTTGAGCCAGTGTCGCGGCAGCTGTTTTTAGCGCCCTTGTTGCTGTTTCAGGCGATGGGACGCATCTTTGTGGGCCTTTGCCAAGTGGGAGCGTGGGGCTGCTTTGACGAGTTCAACCGCCTGGAGGAGCGGATGCTGTCGGCCGTGTCCCAGCAGGTGCAGTGCATCCAGGAAGCGCTGCGGGAGCACTCCAACCCCAACTTCGATAAGAGTAAGGCTTCCCTCCTCCACGGCCACTCGGAATGTGGGGGGAATGCCACTGGGGACGGCTTTGATCAGAAGTGAGGGAGCATTTCATTCGCTCCAGGACTCACTGTTGCAGGCAGGGTGCAGATGGAAGGGAAGCCCGGGGCATCTCCGCATCAGCAGTTTGCACGGCTTGTCCCAGAGCAGCCCAACCTGAGCATCCCCGTGCCCCTCCCACAGCGTGTGCCTGTGTGAACCCTGGGTGCTCCCCCTCCCTCCCCGGAGCCAGCCTTCCTCGCCACCTGTCTGGCCAGGGTTCCGTGGAGCTTGGGGAATGAGGTCAGATAGGAGCGCCAGCAGAGAGCTCCGAGGGCTGCATCACTGCCAGGAGAGAGGCACACTGGGATGAGTGCACCCACGTGGCGATGTTGGGTAGTTCTGTGCACAGTTGACCTTGCAGTGTTTCCTTTTATCCCAGAATAACAGTAACTTGTCCTATGAAACAATGTCCAGACCTCCTACATAAAACAGATAGAATCAGCGAAATCAGTGCCTGGAGCAGGTGCATGCCACCCCGCAGGCTCAGTGTGGGGTGTTTTTAACGATCCTCAGAAAGGGTAACTCATGACCGAAGCCAGCCAGTCGTGTTACTTGGGTTGGTTTCATTTCTGCAACCGTCCTTAGACTGCATCGCTAGCCGAGCGTTGGCCTGGGACACACGGTGTCACACACCTAGAGCAGGGCTTCCTGCCTGGGGTCGATCTGTTCCACAGTCGGACACGTCCGTGGGTGAGGTGTGGGGAGATGGTGCCTGCAGAGAGGCCTCGAGCGGCTCCCTGCAGCCCTGGGCTATGCGCTTCGAGGCCAGCGGGGAAATGGTGCTTGGTAATTTTAGAGAGATTTTTATGTAGTTTTTGAACATCATGAGTCTTGACACTCTCCCCCGATTTTCAGCCTCTGCCCCCATTACTTGTGAGCTGCTGAACAAACAAGTCAAGGTGAGCCCGGACATGGCCATCTTCATCACCATGAACCCTGGCTACGCGGGCAGGTCCAACCTCCCAGACAACTTGAAGAAGCTGTTCCGGAGCTTGGCCATGACCAAGCCCGACCGGCAACTGATTGCCCAGGTCATGCTGTACTCACAGGGCTTCCGCACGGCCGAAGTCCTTGCCAACAAGATCGTCCCCTTCTTTAAGTGAGTGACTCAGTGATTCATAATCGCATTTCTAGCTGGTGCCCAACGTGCCCATTTCAAGTTTACCTCCAATTACGGTGCATCTTGCACAGTATTCTCACGTTCCTGACTCGGCACTTGTTACGTAAGTGCACGGTTTTTAGAAGACGCTTTCTCTTCTAGGCTGTGTGATGAGCAGCTCTCTTCTCAGAGCCATTATGACTTTGGGCTTCGAGCTTTGAAGAGTGTGCTGGTGAGTGCGGGTAACGTGAAGAGAGAGAGGATTCAGAAGATAAAGAGGGAGAAGGAAGAACGAGGCGAAGTAGTGGATGAAGGAGAGATTGCAGAAAATCTACCTGAACAGGAGGTTTGTCCACATGTCCTCTCAGCCACTGAAACCTTGGGCACTGGTTAAACTTTCCTTCCACATTGAACCACGTGGGAGCGCTCGGAGCGATGCACTGCAGGGGCAGGGGGGGGCGGGGGGGCGGCGGCGTTCACAGGGTGCGTGGCTGTGAGGGGCTCAGCCAGACGTGCAGTGCGACGTGCTCGCCCCTTCTCCCACGCAGATTCTGATCCAGAGCGTCTGTGAGACGATGGTGCCAAAGCTGGTGGCAGAAGACATCCCGCTGCTCTTCAGTCTCCTGTCGGACGTGTTCCCCGGCGTCCAGTACCACCGCGGGGAGATGACCGCACTCCGGGAGGAGCTGAAGAAAGTGTGTCAGGAGATGTATCTGACGTATGGAGACGGGGAAGAAGTTGGCGGAATGTGGGTTGAAAAGGTACCTGGGACTGTTCTGTTGGTGGGGTGGCTGCAGCCATGACAACTGCGGGATGCTGCACACGAGGACGTTAGAGCTGTCAAAGGCCAGGCCTGCTGGTTTATGGCTTGTCCCCACGCCTGTGTGGACTTTTTTTCTTTATCTTTTCTTTTTTTAGATTTATGTTTATTGATTTTTAGAGAGAGGAAGGGGGGGGAAGAGAGGAACAACAATCACCTTTCTCCTGCGTGTCTGGGCCTGCCAGGGACTGAGCCGCAACCCAGGCACATCAGGACTGAGCCTTTCGGTTTACGGGACCAGGACCAACCCACTGAGCCACACCCACCAGGATTGTACTTTTTTCTTAACTTAAATGTAGAGAGAGCAAAACTTACCTGAGAATTTTACTTACGTGAGATAGTTCATTCTCTGAAAATGCTGGCTAAGGGCGTGATTTATAACAGAAAATGTTTACGCCAACGAGAGTTTTATTTACAAGACTTTCTAGTCTGACAACGTAAGTCTCTAACCAACTCATGGCTGACATACTGCATTGGCCTCTTCCCTTCCTCTGGGAGGCTCACATGAGGAAAAGTGCGCATGTGCCTGAGCGTACTGTCTGCATTGAACACCCGTGGGCTCCCCTCCTGGGGGGTGGGGAGCTTTGGTGTCTGTCAGGCAACTGGGTCAGTGTCTCCCATTCCACTGGCTCCCACCTTCCTGACTCACCGAAGGGCTCTCCACAGTGTAGTTACAACCCTTGTGAAGTAGTTTTGCAGGTGTGGCCTGTGTGACGTATCTCTGGTTAAAAAGTTTCAGTGCTGCCCTAGCTGGTTTGGCTCAGTGGATAGAGCGTTGGCCTGTGGACTGAAGGGTCCTGGGTTCAATTCCAGTCCAGGGCACATGCCAGGTTGCAGGCTTGATCCCCAGTAGGGGGCTTGCAAGAGGCAGCCGATCAATGATTCTCTCTCATTGATTCTATCTCTTTCTCCCTCTTCCTTTCTCTCGGAATTCAATTAAAAAATATTAAAAAGAAAAAAGTTTCAGTGCTGCCCTGGCCAGGTGGCTCAGATGGTTGGAGCATCATCTCATAAAACCAAAGGTTGTTGGTTCCATTCCCGGTCGGGGCACATGGAGGCAACCCATTGATGTTTCTTTCTCTCTCTCTTCCTCTCCTCCCTGCCCCCTCTAAAAACATATCCTCTGGTAAGGATTAAAAAAAAGAAAGTTCTAGTACCACGGGAAGTGACTGGAGAAGCTCGCTCCTCTCTCTGGAAGGTCATGTGCTGTGTGTCTGCCCGCAGGTCCTCCAGCTCTACCAGATCACCCAGATCAACCACGGCCTGATGATGGTGGGGCCCTCGGGGAGCGGGAAGAGCATGGCCTGGCGCGTTCTTCTCAAGGCTTTGGAGAGACTCGAGGGGGTGGAAGGCGTGGCCCACATCATCGACCCCAAGGCCATCAGCAAAGACCACCTGTACGGGACCCTGGACCCCAACACCAGGGAATGGACCGATGGGCTGTTCACACATGTCCTGAGAAAGTAAGTCGCTCGGTCAGTGAGTCCCAGTGGGACCTGGCGCTCTGCAGCCTAAGTCTGAGCCAGTGACACAGTCAGCTGAGAAACCATCACAGGGCGAGCGTGTAAAAGCCAACCCCAGTGAGTCCCAGCTGTGACCCTCCCACAGGATCATCGACAACGTGCGGGGCGAGCTGCAGAAGCGCCAGTGGGTCATCTTCGACGGCGACGTGGACCCGGAGTGGGTGGAGAACCTGAACTCGGTGCTGGATGACAACAAGCTCCTGACTCTGCCCAACGGCGAGCGCCTCAGCCTCCCGCCCAATGTAGGCACTTCCTCTGTTGCGGTCCGTCCCATCCCGTCCCAACTGCAGACCGAGTGCCCGCGGAGCCCAGCCCTGGAGACGCTTCCGGGGGGAGCAGCTGGTTGTGCAGATACCTCTCAGTCAGCCTGCACGCTGGGTATTCACGCCCAGGGCTAGTGAGAAGCGTCTCACAGGGCTTATACGTAACTCTCCACGATCTGAATATTAAGCACATTCAGCCCGTCCTACGACCCCGTGAGTGGGGTTGGAGGTAGGGTTGCTGAAGTTACTGTATATGAGAAGGTGGCACCTGAGGGATTCAGATAGCAACGCTGTCATGGCCATCCCTGGGGGTGAGCATTGGGTCGGGCCCTGAACACACCACCTGCAGACGTGGAAACGTGGGCAGGCCCAGCGGGGGTTCGCGTTCATTCTTGACCCAGCGTTTTTGGAGCCGTTGTGTGCGGCCCGTTCTAGATGCTGAGCATGCAGGAATAAAGAGCCTGGACAGAACCCTTGTAGTCCTGGGGCTCACAGTCGCTGGGAAGACAGATGGGCAGGAGAAGAGGCGATGGTGTGAGCAGAAAGGACGCTGGGAGAGGGCGGGCGGTGTTGGTGGCAGGTGGAGGCTGCCCTGTCGGCTGGGGGGCCAAGGCGTCACTGGGAAGGTGGGTCTTAGTAAGGATTGAGGGTTGAGAGGAGCCTTCTGGGAGTTCTGGGTGAAGGGACAGATGGCAGGAGAAGTGGCAGGTGCCGGTGTGTGCGAGGGAAGCAAGGGGCAGCAGCTGGCGTGGAAGAACGAGGGGAGAAGGCAGTGAGATCACAGAGGACATGGGCCTCTGGGTCCTTGTGAGGACTGAGCCTGCCCGCTGGGTGAGCTGGAAGCATGGGAGAGTCTGGACAGTGTCACTGTTGGTTGCCAAAGACCCCTCTGGCTGCTGGTTGGAGGACAGGCTGGGAGCAAGGGGACCTTTGGAGGCTGCCTGGCACCAGGCAGAGCCGTGGGGGTGCGTCGGAAGCGAAGGTGTAGGGAGTGGCCGATGGACCACCAGAGGCGGGTGTGAGAAAGGAGGAGCGGAGCATGACCGAGGTGCTTGGCCGCAGCAGCTGTGCCCACTCAGACGCGTGTCTGGATTTGACTAGTCGGGTGTTTTCTCAGAGCACATTGTCCAGTAGAGTCTCTGTTGTTGGAGAGGGCTTGCTCTCCCGGAGGCAGGTGAGCACCGAGGGTGAGGCTTCGGAATCTGGGCATCTGGTTTGAATCTCCGCCTCACCATCTGGTGGCTGTGGGACCTGGGAAAGCCCCAGCCCATCTGTAACATGGAGACGCTGTGCCCCTGCCCCGGGCACTGGTGAGGGCCGAGCGGGTTCCAGCCGGGAGCATGGGCCACGATGAGCAGGGGTGCTCACTGCTGGCGTCCCCTTCCCGGAGCCGTGGCTTCTCCAAGGGCCCATTGATATTTTTTCTTTTTAACTAAGTGCAGAAAAATTGGATAGAAATCACTCTTTCAGGGCATACATAGGAAAGAGAACTTTAACACTTGGAGTGGGGGAAACGAGTTAAGTCGGCTCGCGTGAATTGCGCGTACTCCGCGGGAGCCGTCTTTAACTCGGTTCATATAGATTTGCGGTGGAGTGCGGGAAACGTGTAAACTCGGGCCGATTGTAACTGCGTATTACCAAATATTTGTTTGTAATCCACCCTTTTGGTGGATGGAACAAAACCAAAAGACAGAGCCATCTTATATTTTGGCGGGAAATTCACCCCACACCGGAGTGTTAACATCCAGGTTTCTACCAAACCTGCATCGTTCAACCTGCTTGGTGTTTTCCCTCCAGGTGCGAATCATGTTTGAAGTGCAGGACCTGAAGTACGCCACCCTGGCCACAGTGTCGCGCTGCGGCATGGTCTGGTTCAGTGAGGACGTGCTCAGCACAGACATGATCTTCAACAACTTCCTGGCCCGGCTGCGCAGCATCCCCCTGGACGAAGGGGAGGACGAGGCCCAGCGCCGGCGCAAGGGCAAGGAGGACGAGGGGGAGGAGGCTGCGTCCCCGATGCTGCAGGTAGGCACCGCGAGCTCGGGTCCGAGGGTTGTGTCTCTCCCCCTCTCCCCCACTCATACATGCGTGCGCGCGTACACACACACTTCGGAAGCCAGGCAGGCACTCTCTTGAGGTTTGTGTTACACCTGCCCCTGAGGAAGCCCAGCCGCTGCAGCTGCCAAAGCTAAGGCACGCGGGAGAGCGTGTAGAGCCCTCTGCTTCCTTCCCGCATAGACTGATGGACGTCTGCCCTTTCACGTCGCTGGAGGGAACCAGTGTTCCCAGGAAACATGACTTTTGAGAACCATCAGGATGAAGGGATGAGGATTGGTCATTTGAGCTCATCCTTCATTTTTTAATCCAAAATATACTCTCCCGAGATCAAGTGACCCGCCCGGGCCTAGATTAGGAGCGCTGAAAGTGCCCAGGCTCTTGAAATGAGTTACGCGGCATTTCCTTCCTCTCGCAGATCCAAAGGGACGCGGCAACCATCATGCAGCCGTACTTCACGTCCAACGGCCTGGTCACCAAGGCCCTGGAGCACGCCTTCAAGCTGGAGCACATCATGGACCTGACCCGCCTGCGCTGCCTGGGCTCCCTGTTCTCCATGCTGCACCAGGCCTGCCGCAACGTGGCCCAGTACAACGCCAACCACCCCGACTTCCCCATGCAGATCGAGCAGCTGGAGCGCTACATCCAGGTCAGGGGAGCGGCGTGCCCTGCGTGTGCTCTGAGCGTCCAGGAGCCACTCAGGGTTAATGTTGCATGGACGTCTGCTTTGTTGTTGTGGGAACTTGATGGAAAACGAGTTGCTTCTCTTTCCACAGCGGTATCTGGTTTATGCCATTCTCTGGTCCTTGTCTGGGGACAGTCGGCTGAAAATGAGGGCAGAGCTGGGCGAGTACATCAGAAGGATCACGACCGTGCCCCTGCCCGCTGCACCCAACATCCCCATCATTGATTACGAGGTCAGTGGGCTGAGGTGCAGCCTCCCCCTTTGGTGCAGCCTTGCTGTGGACTCGGACTCCCCTCTCCACTTCTAGAAGCAGCTTCTCCTCTTTGATTCATGCTGTACAAGGAGCACAGACTAGCTTGAAAGTTCTGATTTGTGTGAAACTGAGCGTGTCTTGTGAGGAGGCACAGGGGCCCCGGGGTGACTGTTCCCCCGTCTCTCTGGGTAGGTGTCCATCAGTGGAGAGTGGTCGCCGTGGCAGGCCAAGGTGCCTCAGATTGAAGTGGAGACCCACAAGGTGGCGGCCCCAGACGTCGTCGTGCCGACCCTGGACACGGTCCGCCACGAAGCCCTCCTGTACACCTGGCTGGCCGAGCACAAGCCACTGGTCTTGTGTGGCCCCCCCGGGTCCGGCAAAACCATGACGCTCTTCAGTGCCCTGCGGGCCCTGCCCGACATGGAGGTAACGCGGCGGGAGGTGGGCAGGAGGCTGTCGTGGTTGGGTCGGCCCTCTGATACTGATGGTGTCGTCCTGTCTGCAGGTGGTGGGTCTGAACTTCTCCAGCGCCACCACTCCAGAGCTGCTGCTGAAGACCTTCGACCACTACTGCGAGTACCGGCGCACGCCCAACGGCGTCGTCCTGGCTCCCGTCCAGCTGGGCAAGTGGCTGGTGCTGTTCTGTGATGAGATCAACTTGCCAGACATGGACAAGTACGGGACGCAGAGGGTCATCTCCTTCATCAGACAGGTTTGTTTACGCCCGCGGCCCTGCTCCCCGGGTTCGCACGCATGCTCCTAACGTGTCCCCTCCTGCTTCCCTCAGATGGTGGAACATGGAGGCTTCTACCGAACCTCAGATCAAACCTGGGTGAAGCTGGAGAGGATCCAGTTTGTCGGGGCTTGCAATCCGCCCACGGATCCTGGGAGAAAGCCTCTCTCTCACAGGTAATGCCAGCTCTACTGACCTCACTGGCCTGGCACACGAATTCCAGGGTGGCTTTATAGGCGGCACAACAAACATCTGGTTTAACTGTAAAAAGGTAACAAAGGGGCCCCTCCTGAGCTCCTGCACTGCTGTGCGCTGGGAAGCACTGGCGGTGGAAGCATCCACTCCTCGGGCAGCAGTGATCTGCCCAGACTGTCTGCAGGGCCAGGAAGAGGCTGAAATGAGCCTGCGCTGTTTTGTTTTGTGTGTTTTTTTAATATATTTTACTGATTTTTTACAGAGAGGAAGGGAGAGGGATAGAGAGTCAGAAACATCGATGAGAGAGAAACATCGATCAGCTGCCTCCTGCACACCCCCTACTGGGGATGTGCCCACAACCCGGGCATGTGCCCTTGACTGGAATCAAACCTGGGACCCTTCAGTCCGCAGGCCGACGCTCTATCCACTGAGCCAAACCGGTTAGAGCAAGCCTGCACTGTTTTAATTCTTTCTCAAGTGCTTTGCATCTACTGTTAGGTGTCAGGCTCAGACCTGAGCTGTTTGGAGTGAGCTCAGGTGACTGGCGTGAAGCCTGTGTAGGTGGGTTAGGGAGCAAGTTGGGGTCCGGCCCAGGACGGGCGCCGCGCTGGGGCACCACTCCTCACCGGGAGTCTGAGCCCGCTGTTTTTTCACAGATTCTTGCGTCACGTGCCTGTGGTGTACGTGGATTACCCGGGACCCGCCTCGCTGACGCAGATCTACGGCACCTTCAACCGGGCCATGCTGCGGCTCATCCCGTCGCTGCGCACGTATGCGGAGCCGCTCACCGCCGCCATGGTGGAGTTCTACACCATGTCTCAGGTACGCGGGCTTCTCCGCCCCTCTGGTCATGGGAGGGCTCTGCCAGGAGACAGCTTTATTCCAACCCCTCGTTTAGCCAAGAGCCTTTCTCCAGAGTCTGCCACCCAGCGTTCCCCTGCGCAGGTCGTGACTGCCGAGGTTTCTGTGCTGCTTCTTGCCCTGCACTGTTTCCCTGTGAGGCTGGGGCTGTGAGTGGAGCCTGTCTGATCGGGCCACAGTGTCTCTAGAGGGATCTGCTGTCTCACTGCTTTCGGCTGGACTCTCACCCCACCTGCAAGGCCTCTGCCTTTCCTCATTAGCATCTTAATGTTTACTAGAAGCGTCCCTTTGCCACTGGGTGAGCCCAGTGGTTCTCGCCGGCATCCCTGGGGCAGCCTGCCTGCCTGCCTTTCCCAGGGCCGTGAGGAGAACGCCCGCTTCCGTGCCCGGCCATCGTCCATCTTGCTCCAGGCCTTTGGGAGCGCTGCCGGGCAGGTTGCAGCAACTTCCCCAGTTTTTAAAATTGTTTTTTATTTTGTATAATTGTAGTTTTTTCCTACAGAATTATTGTTGTCATCATTGTAAATCTTTTTCTTTGTTTCAATTGTGGTTTTAATGAAATCATGCCTAGAAAGGCTCAACTTAGGAATTTCATTAAAAAAAATATTTTTAGAGGAATATTTTGTAGGGTTTTTTTTGGTTTTTTTCCAACATAAAATGAGCAACTTGGATCTAACTTAATTCTGGACAGTTGTCCAGTTGCTCCAACACTATTTAATCCATCCTTAAGTGTTCTGGGGCTAGGTTCTTTATTTTTAATATAAGAATGTTATACAGCATTTGGCCTTTCGACCACTTTTCATGTCTTAAGATACTCACATGTAACTCCATTTTCCCGGTTCCCGCAGGAGAGGTTCACCCAGGACACACAGCCCCACTACATCTACTCGCCCCGTGAGATGACGAGGTGGGTGCGGGGCATCTTTGAGGCCCTGCGGCCGCTGGAGACTCTGCCTGTGGAAGGGCTCATCAGAATCTGGGCCCATGAAGCCCTGCGCCTCTTCCAAGACAGGTAAGGCCACGGACCCAGGCAGTGCCGTCCCCCCTCTTTGAGTCCCTCTGACCCTCTGAGTGGGGTTCAATGAGGCTTGCCCACCCCGTGAGCCAAGCTGAGCTCTGAGCTGGGAATGGAAGGAACGGAGGTGGCCAGGGCAGCCTTGTGTCTGGGATTCATCATGCCCACCCCTGACAGACGGGTGGCAGCGCACTGTGGCCGCCCACCCTGGTCACCTGTGACCTTGGGGAGGCACCTCACCCTCTGTCCAGTGGGCACCACACAAGGTAGTTACCTGTGATGTCCTGTCCAAGCGCAGAGTTCACCGGTGAGTTAAATGCCTTCTAACACGATGTGGTGTGTGGCCTCCACAGCCACCCCCTTCCTTGTCCCCGTCTTGGTTCTCATCAAGGGGTTGCAGCTGCGTCTGAGGCATTGGATTTCTCTCCCACTGTTGGCCACTTGTGTCCGCTGTTGTCTTGTAAGCTTCGTGTTTTCCTTGTTACTTCGGGAAGGGAATTGCTAATGACTGTGGGGATCAGTATCCATCACAACCCGTTGTGGTCCGAGTCAGACCAAGTGTCACAGTAAAAAGTTGAGTCTTTTTCTCATTTAAGGAATCTTGAAAGTTATTGACCTTGTAAAATCAGGACCTTTTCCTTGCCTTCTTTATAATTCCGTACAACCTTTGTTTTACAATAAATTCCTCATGTTTGTGTCAGTTTTTTCTTCTTACAGTTTTAATTTTATGTATTTCAACACTGCAATTTTTCACAGAATATTAGGCTCATTTTAGGTTAGTGAGAAAAAGTTAAATTTGTGTTGCCTTAACTAAACGTTTAGTAAACAATAGATCTTAACTGACGTGGTATTTAATACAGCACCAAGTTCCCTATTGCATGTCATTTGGGGAAACATGCCCATGAGCCAGATCTCACAACGGACAGGGGGGGCTCAGAGCAGATGCACGCAGGGCCAGGCCCTCGCCCTCCCAGGTGGCCATCTGCAGCAGGACCAGGTGAGCTCCTCTGGCCACTGCTAATCTCAGCTGCTGGGAGTCGCTGGCAGCTAGTTAGCAGTTACTCCCCTGGGAAGGCCCGGCCAATAGCTGCCTCCAGACTGACAGACTGAGAAAGAAGCGTTTGGCAGTTACTCCTGGAGACCAGTGTCCTGCCCCCAGGCAGCTGTTCTCATCCCGGCTTGTTGGGGTCTCAGTGCTGCCGTATAGACCCATCGTTTTCAGGCCAGGCTGCATGGCATCTCTGGAGCCCACGGACTGCCTTACTGAGAGCCTGGAGCGAGGTGCGTGAGGCAGGGCCGGGGAAGCAGCACATGAGCCCTGGCAGCTCTGTGGTTTAAAAATGAAGTCTTTTCGTTGTTATGTGAGCTACCTTCGCTCTCCCTTTTTTTAAATGCATTTTTATTGATTTCAGAGAGGAAGGGAGAGGGAGAGAATCATTGATTGACTGCCTCCTGCATGCCCCCTGGAATTGAACCCGGGACCCTTCAGTCCATAGGCTGACAGACATTCTATCCACTGAGCCATACCAGCCAGGGCTCGCTCTCCCTTTTTTAACTTAAAAAATGAATTTTGAGCGCTGGCCGGTTTGGCTCAGTGGATAGAGCACTGGCCTGCGGTTGAAGGGTCCTGGGTTTGATTACAGTCAAGGGCACATGCCCGGGTTGCGGACTCAATCCCCAATAGGGAGTGTGTAGGAGGCAGCCTATCAGTTATTCTCTCTCATCATTGATGTTTCTATTTCTCTCTTCCTCTCCCTTCCTCTCTGAAATCAGTAAAAATATTTTTTAAATGAATTTTGAGCTGTAGTGCAATTTTCACAGCTTTCCCAAAATACCAGAGAAAGGTTTTGTTTAGATTTGAATGTAGGCATAGCCACCGTGCATCTCAGTTCTGATGGACTGCAGTAACTCCATGACATGCCTGCTCAGTGTAGTCACCTCCCAAGGTCCCCTCCCAGCTGTAGGGACAGGCACAGCTCACCTGCTTGCTGTTTTCTTCACGAGCCTGCACCTCCAGAGCTGCACACTGCGGTTCCCATCTGTCCTCAGCACCTGCGCTCAGAGCACTGTTCAACAAGCTGAGACCCTGGACCACGGTTTCTTCTTAAACCACGTGGTTAAGCCTTTCTAAGGGAGTTGTTTTCAGTGTAGTGTCATAGGTCTCAGGGTTTTGTATTTAACTAGAGGCCCGGTGCATGAATTCGTGCATGGGTGCGGTCCGGCCGGCTGGGGAGAGGGGCCGTGGGCTGTTGGCAGGCTGGCCCTGCCCCCTGGTGGAACTCCTGGTTGAGGGGACAATTTGCATACTGGCCTTTTATTATATAGGATGTTAAAACTTCTGATTGCTTAAGCATCTTGAGTTCAGATTCTCAGGTTTTTCCATTTGTAGAAAATGAAAATTTCTGATAAAGACTGATCTCAGCCCTTGGAGTCACCCTTAACACACAACCTGGTGTTCCCCTCCCACCCCCATTGACCTCCGGACTCACACGCTGCTCTCCCGGCAGGCTTGTGGAGGACGAGGAGCGGCGCTGGACCGACGAGAACATCGACATGGTGGCTCTGAAGCACTTCCCCAACATCGACAAGGAGAGAGCCATGAGCCGGCCCATCCTGTACAGCAACTGGCTGTCCAAGGTGACCAGGCCCTGCAGTCAGCCATGTCCCTCCTCTGTGACCCGTGACCCCTCCTCTGTGACCCCCTGACCTCTCTGTGACCTGGCCCTGCAGTTAGCCCTGTTCCCGCCTCCTGTCAGTCAGCCATGCCCTCTCCTCTGCCTTCCTGTCGGTTAGAATGATCCTCTGACCAAAAAACGTGTCTGTCTGGAAGTGCGCTGTCAATGAAGGTGGTTACACGTGTGACGGTGACTGCGTCTCTGCAGCCGCTGATAATGTAGGGGTTTGGGGTAGAGTTCCAGGAGTGTGGCTGGACGGCTGTTTCTTATCTCCATGCGATGGCTGCTCCAGCCAGCAGATGTGGCTCCAGCGTGTTTGCAGGGAAAGCCTCTGCTTCCCCTTCGCTCTTTCTTTCCTCATTTGTGTGAATGTTTCATGCACTAAGATCCTCCACAGAGGCGACATTTCCAGCACAGCCGCGAGCCGTCCTTTTCTCTGAAGAGGAGGTGGGGGCGCTTTAGTGAGTTGTCCTCTTGCTGTGCACGTCATTTGGTAGCAGCTGATTCGGGGGCGTGTCAGGGTCACAGTCTAAAAGGGCGAGACAGGGACGTGGCCCATCAGGAGAGGTCTTGGCGTCGGGTCTTCACAGGCTCTCGGGCCTCCTGGGCGTCAGGAAAGGCTTGCCAGGCAGAGAGCCTGATGGGAGCAAAGGCAGCGGGCAGGTGTGTTCATTGTGCTGGAGCAAGCCTGTCAGACTCCACGGCTAACACGGGCCAAACAAGGGTTAAGTGTATGTAGCCGCAAAAAACAAAGCTTCAATTTTCATAGAAACGTAGGTTTATTTCTGTAGAGACATGCTGAAGACAAAGGGCTGAGGTAAATGAGTCATTGTTAACATAAAATAATAGAACATTTTAATAAAAATTAATATTTTTTTCTTGAACATTAACTTACCAGACACTGAATAACTGCACAAATTAATAAGCGTAACACAAATAAGCCTATTTTTTTTGTTCTTTGAAAGCAACATATTTCCTGTTGCGCACACCAAACAAGTCAGTTCAAGACTAATGACATGGCAATTGGCTGCTTAAATATTCACTGCTAGTATTAGTGGAGAGAAATGGTGCGCCTGCGCATAAGGTGTGTATGGTAAATGAATGCAACACAATTATAGTAATCAGTCATCAGCAAACATTGTAGTTATTAACAATTATGTATAACAGGATATTGTAAGAATTAAGCTAACGAAATTTTTGTTAAAATGTTTCTTACATACCGTTATATTGGCTGGGGAGTTTGACATGCTTGTGCTAGAATCTGCAGTTTACTTCCAGACTTGAGATGCTAATCCTTCAGTAGAGGCAGTAGCTCCTCCCAGTGGCTTGTCTTTTCACTCTTCGGTGGTTTTTGAAAAACAAATGTTTTTTGTTGTTTTTAAATATATTTTTATTGATTTTAGAGAGGAAGGGAGAAAGGTAGAAACAGCAATAATGAGATCATTGATCAGTGCTTCTGCATGCCCCTACTGGGATCACGCAATGCTCAGTGAGCCAAGGACGTGGCCCTCATAGGGATATTGTTTTTATATTCTTCTTTTCTGTATCTAGGAAACGCACAAAAGTACAGTGCTGGATTTGATACTGTATTATATCAAACATAGAGATAGATAAATCGC